CCGAGTTAGATGTTGCTGATAAAGCCCGCTCAGCAAAGGCTAGTGAGAAATCCAAGTCTAAGAAAGGTTAAACCTTCCTTTATACAGTTGATAACAGATCTATTGCAGGAGCAAAGACCGAAAAAGCTGAAGCTACTCCAGATGCTCCTGTCTTCGACTGGAAAGAAGAAATCGCTGCTATGAAGACTGTTGATGAGCAGTTTCCTGAAGGCAACTTCCCTATCGGTCCAGAAGAAACTTATTTTTTGAAGGGTAAGTTGCGACAATGTTTGTCCAAACTAGGTGCTCTTTCAGGCAAGGATGGTCGTGTTGCATCTGATCGTCAGACCAGGAAGGAAAAGAAAGATCTCGAAATTAACTTTGAAGAAATGTACATGGTAATAGACTAAGAGAAAACAAAATGAAATGTGAACAATTCCAGGATTACCGTCGTGCCGCTGAAGTTCATCGCCAAGTTCGAAGCTATGTTCGCTCGTGGGTGAAGCCAGGAATGACTATGATTGAGATTTGGTTTGTGCATGAAACGCCTCCTCATCATCTGTTTTACCTTTTAGCGAGCGTTTGGAGTCGTGCTCTCGTCGTTTAATAAAAGAATCTGGTCTGGAAGCCGGACTCGCCTTCCCAACAGGATGCTCTCTCAACAGAGTAGCCGCTCATTACACTCCTAATGCTGGTGATACCACTGTTCTCACATATAACGATGTTTGCAAGGTAGAGAAAACACAAGGAGCAGATCAACAGTTTTTCGTTGTTTTTTAGATTGATTATGGTGTTCACGTTCGTGGCCGATTGATTGACAGTGCCTTCACCCTCCATTTCGACCCTAAGTTCGATCCTCTAGCCAACGCTGTGAAGGAAGCCACTAATGCTGGAATCAAAGAAGCCGGTATTGATGTTCGTCTCNCTCGTGGGTGAAGCCAGGAATGACTATGATTGAGATTTGGTTTGTGCATGAAACGCCCCCTCATCATCTGTTTTACCTTTAAGCGAGCGTTTGGAGTCGTGCTCTCGTCGTTTAATAAAAGAATCTGGTCTGGAAGCCGGACTCGCCTTCCCAACAGGATGCTCTCTCAACCACGTTGCAGCGCATTATACTCCTAATGCCGGTGATACTACTGTTCTCAGCTACAATGATATTTGCAAGGTATCAGTACATATTTTTCATACGAGCCTATTGTGATATACTAAGATTGATTACGGTGTTCACGTTCGTGGCCGATTGGTCGACAGTGCCTTCACACTCCATTTCGACCCTAAGTTCGATCCTCTAGCCAACGCTGTGAAGGAAGCCACTAATGCTGGAATCAAAGAAGCCGGTATTGATGTTCGTCTCNCCGGTATTGATGTTCGTCTCTGCGATATTGGAGAAGTGATTGAAGAGGTATGTCAACGTATTACCAATTCTCTCTCATCTTTCTTTCTTAGGTTATGACATCCCATGAAGTTGAGCTTGAAGGCAAAACGTATACCGTCAAGCCAATTAGAAACTTGAACGGTCACTCGATTGGACAGTATAGGTGAGAAGCTTATACAAACAAGATGAAAGAAATTTTTTGTAGAGTCCACGCTGATAAATCTGTTCCGATTGTGAAGGGAGGTGAAGAAACCAAAATGGAAGAAAATGAGGTGAGCCCTGTCTATCATTATTTTGTTCAGAAATGGAATTGTAGGTTTACGCCATTGAAACTTTCGGATCCACTGGAAAAGGATATGTCGATGAAGATATGGAATGCTCGCATTACATGAAGAATTACGATTTGGCTGATGCGAAGATCCCTCTCAGGTTAGTTTAAATTTTCTCTGAGCAATTGTAATCTGAAGACTTGCACGTTCGAAACATCTGCTGAACGTGATTGACAAGAACTTTGGAACACTCGCATTCTGCCGTAGATGGGTAGACCGTCTTGGAGAAACGAAATATTTGATGGCTCTCAAAGACTT